CCCCCCCCCCCCCCCCCCCCCCCCCTTGGAAGGGGGTGCCCATTTGAAGTAGAGGCAACTCCTCCTATCCCAATAGCTGCCCATCAGACTCCTCTACCGGCACTTTCCAGTCCTAGAGTGGGAAGAACTGTCCCAGGGTGCTCTTGAATGCTGGTATGAACCACTCAGGCTGCCTGCCACTTGCACTTGTCTTCTCACTTGCTGCACTTTGCTGGGTGAGGCTTCTGGATGACTCTGATGCTGGAGTGAGTTCCCCCTTCTCAAATGCACCCAAGGGCTGAAGCTGGCAGAGTGAAAGTGGAGTTAGTCGGGGCTTGCCCTGTGAGGGGTGCATCCTGGAGCATTGTTGGGCCTGGCCAGATCCTCTCACATCCTCTTTAGTTCCCCTGGCAGGGACATTTTGTCATGTGAGACTCAAGGAAGAGAATCGTCTTACCACAGCACATAGCAGTCCAGCCTCCTGACTGCAGCCAGCTCTGCCTCCTCGTCCTGCTCCTCTTCGCTCACAGGCACGGAGGGATAGCAGGTGGAGAGCATGGAGACAAGCACAGGCTGCCTTGTCTGAAACGTCAGCAGTGCACACTCGGTCCAACACGCTAACTGTGCTGTCTCAGAGAGCTGCCCTCACCCCGCGTGAGGGGTGCAAGTGGGGAGCAGTGCTGGTGAGTGGGGGCACGCTAGGAAATGCAGGGCTCTTGAGCAGTAGTGATAAGTGGAGAAAGGAGAGCGTGGAGGCTGAAGTGACTGTTTCCTGAGGATGTTTGCATCGTGTCATATGGGTTATGACTGGGCAGCGCTCATGGTGGGCTCTCTTTTTTTGCTTCCTCTTGTTTAGGCGACTGAGTCAGAGACCGACAGCTGAAGAGCTGGAGCAAAGGAACATACTTCAGCGTGAGTAACACTTCTGTGTAGCTCCCTAGGAAGTGAGGTACTGAGAATCGATCGGTTCAAGTTCTGTGCTGGGGGCTGTAGTGACAAGGTGGACTTTGCTTTGCTTACATCAGTGTATGAAAACACATCCATTAGATCACTCAGGTACACTGTTGCCAGTCAGAAGTGGACTGAGTTGTGCATTATGCATGGGGACCCACAAGATCCAATGTCCCATAGCAAAAGCCTTGCTTTTGCTTAGGGGCAAGGGGTGGTTGGGGGCAAGGGGGCAGGCTGTGGGGGCATTCAGCTAGGACTTGGGGCCCTTGTAAACTGAGCCGAGGCAGCTCTGTATCCCTTCTGCAAACTCCTCATCTAAAATTGCCCAAGGAAACAGCGTCAGCACGTGGGTATAGTTGAGAGGACGCTCCTCAGAACTCGCACGCAAGGGATTGGATTAAATGACAAGCATCAAATCTTTGACTCATTTTCTAAAGAAACAAGTATTTTTGGGTGTAAACCAGTATCTGTGCCCTAGGCCTTGCAGCACTGTGATCCTAAGCCCACTGTGGTCCATCTGCCTCTGTCCAGGGTGAATGGAATGGTAAAAGCCCAGAGCAAATACGCTGTGAAGAGGAGCAAGATATGTAAAAATTAACTTTATAAAAGGAAAATGGCAGGAGAAGTGACTTGAAGGGAAATTCCCATGTCCTGGAGACTTTTTTTCTTTAAAGAGCTTGTAGGAGGCAATTTAAAAAATGCCCAAGTTTTAAAGTGTCCTCCATATTTAGCAGTCTTAAGTCATATGGATGCTTTTAAAGACTGTCAAAAACCTGAGAGATGCAGTTTAACTAGTAAAGTATCCTGAGATATGCCCCATTTTGTCACTCTTTATCAGTGGTTCTGATTGAATAAAGAGGTCTGGATTGGACCATTAGCTGTATGTAGGCTTATTGGGGTAAATATAGGATACAAAAATAGTGTACTGATATGAAAGCTATATACAAGCTAGTGCAGTATTCTTGTATATAGCTTGTATTCTTGTATAGCTTTCATATCAGTACGCTGTTCTTGCATATAGCTTGTATATGATATGAAAGCTAAGGGCATGGACAGGGAAGTGAGGGCACTTGGTTGCAAATGGTCAGCAGATGCTTGCTTAGCGGCATTGTCTAGTCTGTTCCTACCCCACGAGAACTTAACCATGTTTCATTCTGGGGTAAGCTGTCCTGGTTTAACATCCACTGACCGCAGGATACGAGCAGACAAATGAGTTACAGCAGACTGAGCGCAGCTGTGAGACATGTTTGTCCGCACCTTCATTTTCTTTGCTCAGGTCTTGAAAGCACTTTAACAAAATAGCAGCATAGCTTTTTATTTAAAGAGAACTTGTCTTTTCCTTTGCCAGAGAAAAATGAGGCTGACCGTCAAGCTGAGAAGCGAGAGATAAAACGCCGGCTCACCAGAAAGGTACTGCCACGCTCCATGCTGTGTTCTCCATCTGTCCGAGCTGCTGCAGATGGTGGTGGCATTAAGCATCTCATTGGTACCTAGGTGGGTGGAGAAGTCATGGGGCTGCTGCATTGCCCGGATGCCCCCTGGCAGTAACAAGCTTGGAAGTTGTCGGGTCGGTCCAGGGATTCACACTGTAGTATCTGTTGACTGGAGCTGCAGCTGTATTTAGCTATTATCGTCCATGGGCATCGGAACAAAGCAACCCTGTTTTATATTTGGGTGCCTTAAATATGGATTTAGGAGCCTAACTTCATGCAGCTGGGTTTTAAATTTGTGCCCCTTAAAAGCCACAGGCTGGAACTAAATGGAGAGGTCGTCTCCGATTCAAATGCTTGCCTCTCCTGTGTATAAATAGAATTAAATATTCAATCAGGGTGATTTTAGTTTGTGGGGGGATAAGCTATGTTCGCTGCCTTGCATGTGGCTGGGAGGAAATGTCCTGCAGGAGACGTGTTATGGGTCTTGTGTATGTGTTGCCATTCTCCGGAAGAGCGAGCAGGGCTCTTCTGTATAAGAATGAACTTTTGCTTTTCACGGACAGTTGGCTCCCTACAGCTGCAGGGGGAGAGCATTGCTGTGCTGAGGTCTGTCCACCCTTGTAGCTCACTTGAAATGCCATCCTAGCACATGGGGCTTGTTAAACTACCAGTAGGCTTGCTTGACTGATGGGGTAATTAGCAGCCCTTGTGTGGGGGGTGCTTTTTGTGTTCGATTGCATCCACACTTGGTTTAGTGATGTCCTTTGGTAGAAAGGATGAAATGCGGGGGCACAGATGAGATGCATGCTGCTAACTTGCTTTCTGTTCTCTTCAGCTTAGTCAGAGGCCCACGGTGGCTGAACTGCAAGCCAGGAAGATCCTGAGATTTAATGAATATGTAGAAGTGACGGATGCTCAGGACTACGACCGGCGAGCAGATAAACCGTGGACCAAACTAACACCTGCTGACAAGGTAATGGAGGGGGGAGGGTCCTTTTCTCAGTCCTTGGAGTCCTGGGTTAAGGGAAGTGAGTGAAGTCAGCATGCTGCTGCTCTGCTTTCTCCACCTCTTCCAGCCCACCAGTGTGCTCCCCACCTGCTTAAGTACTACCTCACTCAGCCGCCCACTCCCATCGCACTGCCAGCTTCCTGCACCCTGCCAACTTCTCTCCCTCTACAAGGCCCATGTACAAATTCCCTCTTCCCCCCAAGGCACTGTGCTCAGCCCTGCCCATTTCAAAAGCAAGGGGACTCTTCGTTTAGCCATTAATTGGTTACCAGCACAGTGTGGGATTGGCCATCCTAGACCCATTTTAACAGCCTGAAGTTGGGGAAGGGGAGCGGGGAGAAGCACGGTCAAGGGGAGCTGAAAGTAATTTCTCTCCGGTAATGCAGGCTGCCATTCGCAAGGAGCTGAACGAGTTTAAAAGCTCCGAGATGGAGGTCCACGAAGAAAGCAAACAGTTCACCCGGTGAGTTCGATGTGCCTTCTTGCAGGCCTCTGCTGCTGCTGATCATCTTCATGATGTACTGGGATGTGCAGGGTAACAAAAGCTGATGTGCAATGCTAAGCAACGAGCTTGCAAACCGTCAGAGAAATGATCAAATGTGGCTTTTTCAACTGTTTCTTTACTTCCTGCATTGAGGGGGAGGGAGTTTTGGGGGCTGGACCTGCCGGTCAATGATATGGTTCAGAGGACTTGGTAATGGGATGTTGTGCAGTTTACCTTTAGACTTGTGGGCTTCTACCACGGTGTCATTGAGAGTGAGCAAAAGCTAGTAGGTGCTAGTAGGTCAGGAGAAAGTATGGCCTGGTGCAGGGGGGCCACAAATTAGCTCTGCATCTTCCTTGAGTGCCACTCTGATCCCCTTCCCCTGCCCAAATGGCCGCTCTGCTTTCTGCTCCCCACCCTGCACTCCCTGCCTGATCCACTGGTCTGCTTTCTGCTCCCTTCTCTGTTTGCCATGTCCTCTCTCTGCTCTGCCACATGCCACGCACAGGGGCGTGCCTGCCACAGTTTGGCCACTGCTGATCTACTGAATAAAGCACTGCAATTCAGGAGGCCTGGGTTTAGCCAGCAGGTCAGTAGCAGAGCTGAGAACAAAATGTGGATGAGCCCTTCTGTGCCTCCATTTGCTCATCTATAAAATGGGCATCGTGTTTCTTCACTTTGTGAAGCGCTGTGAGATCTCCCGATGAAAAGCACAGGGTGAGGTGGCGTTGGGGGAAGGGCAGCAGTGGTTTTTCAACAGATGCGCACATCACAAAACCCCTTTGCAGTTCCCTCTTTACACATTGTCTCTCCCAAATGGTCATGGAGCCTGAGCAGCAGTCTTGGCTGCAGTCCTGCAAGGTTGGGATTGGGACAAAGATCACCTTGGCAGGGCAGGAGTCTCAGTCCCTGCTGGGGTGGGCTAGAGGTCTTGTGAAGTCATTCACAGCGTGATGCGATTTCACATGCCAGGCAGACAGTTCTAGCCATTCAGCAGCATCCCTACTGTGTCATTGTGGTCCCGTCCCCCCAAATCCAGGTGTGACACCTCCTGTTTCCTCTTCCTTTCCAGGTACCACCGGCCATAATCCTTGGAAAGAGAGAGAGGAGTTTAAGTGCTTGCTATTCCCAACTCCTGAGCAATACAGTGAGGGTGCAACCTTGAGGCTCATTCAAGATTTGCCTTCAGAAAAAGAAAAAAAAAAATCCCGAAAAGGGCTGTAGCCCAGCTGGGGCGGAAGGGGATCCTGTCTGAATGTAGCATTTCACTGGAACAAATGCATCTCAAGTGCCATCAGGCCAGAACTGAACACTATACCTCGCACGATACAGCAATACTCAATACTCCCCTTGTCATCCCAACATCCTAGCTCACCTTCCAGGGGACCACAGCAGCATTTGAACGAGCAAAGCCTGCTCCTGGCCCCCAGCTCCCTTCGCTGCTTAAAATGGACCACGTTCTCTGCTGTAAATAGTCCTTATGAACTAGCTGGAACAATTTTTTTTTTTTCCTTTTCCCTTTTGGAAAATGGAGGGGGGAAAACGTATCATATGCTCTGATGCTCAAGAGCGGATGCATCCAGAGCTGGTGAGCTGGGAAGCACGTGTGTATATTAGCTGTGTACAAAGGAAACCTTTTAAAAAAATGCTGACCTGGCAGGAAACTGACATGTGACTCTTATTTTTGGGGTTTGCTTGCATCTCTTTAATGTACCTACTACTCTGAATCACTACTGACCAATGGTATGTTGTCTGGGAAGGGAATTGTACAGACCTTAATAACACACATGCTACATCCTTAAAACGTCATGTTTATTTGACCAAACCTGTCGCCCTCCCCTCAAACTTGCTCCTACGTTAACAGAACTGGTCTTGAGACGACGAGGTTTGGATAATGGGAACTGCAGAACCAGGAAATGACTGTTGCCTTTTAAAAGTTTTTGCTTTTAATTTGAGGAAGCTGTGGTGTGTGATGCTCTTTGACTGCAGCTTTCTCTTTCTGTCTCCAAAATCAGGGTGAAACTTTGCCTTTGCCTAATCTCACAGCAAAACCTACTGGAAGTTTTGAGAATTTCACTGTGGTGGGGGGGAGGACTTTCAAAAAGTGACCTTAAAACAGTCCGTCTTTCTCTCTGAAGAGTGTTTTCAGTTTTTTGGGTTTTTTTTTTTTTTTTTTTTTTAACTGAAAGTGTTTTTAAATGCTGGCATAAGCCATGGCTGTGGTGGTGTGTGCTGCACAGCACTTGTCCTTTGAGTATAAAATGTCACCTGGGATGAGGGGAAGATAGAGGGAGACGGTCATGAAGAATCGGGGGGATGTGAGTTCATGGGGGCGGTCATTCTGCATCGTTTGATCACGGACTGGTCTGGTTTGTTGCTTGTTCACTCTGTCTTGCTTGTAGCCTGTGCCGGTTAGCAGTCGGCGCTAGCTTGCATGAGGTCTCTGCTCACTGCAACCTATATATGCCTGCCTAGTGTCAGAGGCCTTTTCACACTCAGTACTGCCCTTGCTTCCACAATGTGCCAAGTACCTGCTAGGCCAGGCTCTGGCATCCTGTCCTCTGGGGTGGAACAGTGCACCTTCATCTGCCTTCACACCACAGAGCATGGGTCATGATTTGTTTCATCTCAGTCACTCGAGAGCAAGGGTTCACTGAGGATACCTACTCCTTTCTTCAGGGTTCACTCATCCCCGCCTCCAACCAGTGGTTCACAAGCAAAAGGCAGAGAGTGATGTTCCCTTTTATGGAAGACGAGATGAAGCTGGTGCATCGTACTTCTGTACGGCTTCCCTGATGTATAGAATGTGTCGGACTGAATCATTGCATTGTATATCTGTCTTCCTGTCAACAAATTTTAATAATTAAATAAAAGTATTTTAGGACTTTTTAAAGGAAACTAGCTTGATGTTTGAAGTTAACAGGAAGAGGGGAGACGCTTGTTGAAATGCGGTCTCTTTGGGACCACTTCACATTTCAGCAATGGCAACTTAGCTTAGTCCACTCTCTAGATGGACTGATCTTAAGACTTAAGATAACTTAAGTCCAGCAGTTAAGCTCAATTTTATTCTTGCAGGCCTTTCAGACTCTTCTTTCGTGTGGCTGATTTGGAGCATCAATTCTAAGTCTAGTTTAAAGTTAGTTAATCAGTCTAATGCTCTTGAGGAAAGGGAATGCATCTCTGCAATGTCACTGTCAAATTTGTTTAGAGGACAGAGTGTTACATGGTCCACAGTTTGATCAGGACTGCCACATTTTGCAGAACTCCTAATACACCATTTGTGCATCAAGTGACCGCAGCAGCTGTGCCTGGTTTGGATCCGATTTGGTCTTTCAGATGACAGCATAGCACACGTCCTCCCTGCCTTCGCTGGACACTGAAAACCCTTGGAAAATGCTGTGCCAGGTGTCTTTGGCCAGGGCTTTCTGAGGATCCAACTTTGTCCCTGTAGGCTTCAGTCCACCCTTTCCAGTTTTATCGGCAAAACTCGCCTGTTGTCAGGGCAGTCCTGAGAGGGCTCAAGTCTGAGTCAGGCTGACAAAGTGCTGAATGCTTGCCAGGAAAAATTAAACCAGTTTTCTAGCTAACAAAAGCTTTTTTTTTTTTTGCTTCCCCCCCCCCCCCTTTGGTCACACGGGCATTGTGCTAGCAAAGGAACAGGAACCAGTGCTCAAACAGTCCCTGCAGCAGGGATGCATTGTGACCTTGAACTCCGCTGCTGCTGGCTGCATCCACAGCAAACCTGCTACCGTTTGAAAATCTCCAGGATGTGATGGCAATGCTGCATCTCTGGTCATAAGGCTCTGGATGCTGCTCGTCCTCCTGCTCCAGTGAGGCCTTGAATTCCAGAGTATTACCAGATCTCCCCAAGCATAAAAGAAATGTTACTGGCACATCTCAGAGCTGGGAGGGTAGAGCAGATGGTGGGAGAAGGGATTTGGATGCGATTTAACTAGACAGCCAGAGGGATAGGGGCCATTTTGGCTTCCCCTCGAAAAAAAAGCAGCAGCTGTCCCCTGCAAATGGAGGCCGTGGAGGTGCAAAGGACCTGTGCTTTGGGTGTGCGAGCAAGGAGTAGTGAACTGCATGGTGGGGGACAGAAAGAGCCTTGCTCTGCCAATCTAAGAGCAGGCAGGCAGGTGATGAAACTGATTTGCAGTGAACAGGCTGCTCCCAGGATGCATCAAAATTAATTTAAAAAAAAAAAGTAAAAAAAGAAAAAAGCAATCGATTTACTGAATGACTGACACTTAAAACAAGGATGCATTAAAAATAATTTTAAAGAAATTTTTTGCAAATTTAAAAAAAATGTTAAAGATAACTTCAAAATGTTTCTTTAAAGAATTTTTTTCGCAAAAATCTTGTTGGTCTAATAAAATATCATCTCCACTACGAGTCCTGATTGCTTCAACAAGACGTCTTTGCAGCAGCGCCCCTTGGCGCCTTGCCCTTGCAGACCGCCGCCAGCAGGGGGCACTGCGGCGCCGGCCGGCAGAACACCGCCTCCCCCTGTTAACCTTTGTAGTGCGCATGTGCTCTAAAGGGGCACCTCCGCGAAGAACTACGCATGCGCCGCTCATGTCCACCTATTGCGCATGTGCGTAGCCAGACGCCGCGATATCTCGCAAAGGAGCTATAGCGCATGCGCCAGCGCTTGGCCTTTTTTTCCCGTCGTGCTTTGCGCACTATAAATTCTCCCTTCCCGGCGATCTCGGTCTTTTCGGCTGTAGCGGTGGGTGAGTGAGCACTGTGGCTCTGTGGCGGGGGTAGCGGGCTGCAGGCCTCATTCAGGCTGAGAAAAGGGAGGGGGGTGGAGGGACGGTGCCCTACGAGGCTTACGGTATCTCGGCTTTTGCGCGCGGAATAAGGAAGCCCGTAGGGATCACTCAGAGCGCAGCGACGGTGGCCGCACTGGACCATCCCTAGCGCTTCGCGGGCCAAGTAGGGCTATAGCTCCCTTATGCAACCTTGAAGGCAGGGGCCAGGCTGCTAGGGGGGAGGGGCAGTTGCATCTTGTGCACGTGATCGAGTTGGTCTACAAGGCTTTGCAAGTGGCAGCTGAGCAGTGCCTGCCGCTGGCAGTTTGTGCAGCTCAGGCTTAGTCAGTCTGCAAGGTGCAACCCTAACTCGCCTAGCTGTCTCTGTTGTCCCCCTTGAATGCATGTTGCAGGCCCCCAGCTTCTGCCCCCTGCTCCCTTAGAGACGGGTCCCACCTTGGTTTGCACCCAGTGTCAGCTCTGGGGCGTGCACGGCGCTCCCTCCACGCATGAACGGCCTCACTAGGCATGCAGCTGGCATCTGGTCTGCATTGTGCATATTCCTAACAATCTGCTGTCCAATGTGGACATCCGGAGAGGTTGCTCTCTCTCGGCTCTGTCCGTGTGGCATACGGGAGCGTAGGCCTTCGGGCTCCGTGACGTATAGTCCCCTTCCACGACGTTGGAGAGCAAGCCGGGCCTCTGGTCTGCAGCCTGCATATTCCTATGGCTTCTCTGAGTCCTTGGACCATGACAGAGGAGACAAACCATGCAGGAAACAGCACATCCAGTCAAACAGCGTTTGAGTAGTACTGTTACATGGAGCTATGGCAAACTGCTAGTTCAGGTAGAGTAGCCATTGTTTCACTAAGCTAACGTGCTTTTTTTTTTTCCCTCTTTTATGTCAGCAGTTTGCAGACGGTGCCACTCTATGCACAAAGTAAGTATTTGTGGTATTTTATAGGTTCTTTGCAAATGTATTCTTCCAGGCTGTAATGCTTGTGTGATTGGGCTGGAGCTGTGAAACCAGTGCACTTCATATGCGGCTCTGGAGGCCAGTGCACAGTTTTTCTGACGTTCCTGCTTTCACATGTTCTGTGGCGGGTGATGCATCCATGTATTGGATTGAGGTTATTGGGCCACTGACTTTGTGAGCTACTGGTTTGTATCTGGGAGGTGAATGCGTGGGGGGCAGGGTGGGGAATAGCCTGTTGTAGTGCATTGAATTCACTGTCCAACGTGGACATCCGGAGAGGTTGCTCTCTCTCGGCTCTGTCCGTGTGGCATACGGGAGCGTAGGCCTTCGGGCTCCGTGACGTATAGTCCCCTTCCACGACGTTGGAGAGCAAGCCGGGCCTCTGGTCTGCAGCCTGCATATTCCTATGGCTTCTCTGAGTCCTTGGACCATGACAGAGGAGACAAACCATGCAGGAAACAGCACATCCAGTCAAACAGCGTTTGAGTAGTACTGTTACATGGAGCTATGGCAAACTGCTAGTTCAGGTAGAGTAGCCATTGTTTCACTAAGCTAACGTGCTTTTTTTTTTTCCCTCTTTTATGTCAGCAGTTTGCAGACGGTGCCACTCTATGCACAAAGTAAGTATTTGTGGTATTTTATAGGTTCTTTGCAAATGTATTCTTCCAGGCTGTAATGCTTGTGTGATTGGGCTGGAGCTGTGAAACCAGTGCACTTCATATGCGGCTCTGGAGGCCAGTGCACAGTTTTTCTGACGTTCCTGCTTTCACATGTTCTGTGGCGGGTGATGCATCCATGTATTGGATTGAGGTTATTGGGCCACTGACTTTGTGAGCTACTGGTTTGTATCTGGGAGGTGAATGCGTGGGGGGCAGGGTGGGGAATAGCCTGTTGTAGTGCATTGAATTCACTGTCCAACGTGGACATCCGGAGAGGTTGCTCTCTCTTGGCTCTGTCCGTGTGGCGTACGGGAGCGTAGGCCTTCGGGCTCCATGACGTATAGTCCCCTTCCACGACGTTGGAGAACAAGCTGGGCCTCTGGTCTGCAGCCTGCATATTCCTATGGCTTCTCTGAGTCCTTGGACCATGACAGAGGAGACAAACCATGCAGGAAACAGTACATAGTCATGTAGCATCTTCTTGCATGGGTAGGGTTATTTATTCATATAACTCTACCTGCACACAATAAAAGATACTACATAATACAAGCTGTTATAGAAGGTTAATGCAGACTTTGCTGATACCTTTGGGGTATTCCTTTGGGATCTTGCTAATCTAACATGCTCTTTTCTTGTTTTGTTGCAACAGCTTTGCAGACTACTACTTTACTGACAGAGTGAGTATTTGAACTGTTTTGTGGTTTCCAGTGTATCTGCAAATGGAGGCTTCCAGCCTGTAATGTGTATATGGCTGTCCAAGCTAACAAATCCCACTATCTGGCTGGTATAGAAGGATCCCCCTAGTAGACCTTTTGGAGGAGCAGGGAGGTCTGTTGACTTTGGACTTGCATCCTCTTAAATTCATGCCCACTGATGTTGAAAGATTCCCTTTGTTGCTAGGCCTGTGCAACTTGTCTTGTGAGCTGTTTTATCTCATAAAAGGTTCCTTTTTGTTGCACAGGGTACAACTTCTAGTACACCTGCATCACCCTTTCTCGGTACTGATACCGTGGTTCAGTGAGAACAGCAGATTTCTTTGACTCTTAAAAGTTGCTGCTGAATTTTCCTGACATTCCTGCTTTCATCGTGTGTTGCTTGGTGTATGATAAATCCACGTATTGGATTATAGTTATTGGGCCCTTGACCTGATGAGCTAAGTTTGTATCAGGGAGGTTAATGCATGCTGGGAATGGCCTAATGCAATGCATTGAATTTGCTGTCCAACGTGGATATCCGGAGAGGTTGCTCTCTCTTGGCTCTGTCCATGTGGCGTACGGGAGCGTAGGCCTTCGGGCTCCATGACGTATAGTCCCCTTCCACGATGTTGGAGAGCAAGCCGGGCCTCTGGTCTGCAGCCTGCATATTCCTATGGCTTCTCTGAGTCCTTGGACCATGACAGAGGAGACAAACCATGCAGGAAACAGCACATCTAGTCAAACAGTGTTTGAGTAGTACTGTTACATGGAGCTATGGCAAACTGCTAATTCAGGTAGAGTAGCCA